GTAGAGATGAGGTCTCGCTGCCCAGGCGGGTCTCGAACCCGCGGGCTCAGGCAATCCACTCTCCTCAGCCTCCCAAAGGCGCGAGATTACAGGCTGAGTACTATCTTGCAGTTAGGCAAGAGCGACAAGTAAAAGGTATCTCAATAAGAAAGGAAGAAGTGGGGCTCAGTGGCTCAGCCTGTAACCCCAGCACTTTGGAAAGCTGAGGCAAGTGAATTGCCTGAGGGCAGTCCTGTAGGCTCGAGACCAGCTCAGGCAACTTGGTGAGACCTCTGTCTACAATAAATGAAAAACAATTAGCTGGGCATGGTAGGGCATGCCTCTAGTTTCGGATACTTGGAAGTCTGAGGTAGAAGGATCGCCAGAGCCCAGCAGATCAACTCTGGGGTGGCCATGGGTGTGCAGCCTGGGCAACAGTGTGAGACTCCAACTCACAAAAAAAAAAAAATACAAAAAAAAAAAGAAAGGAAGGAAAAAGTAACATAGTCTCTATTTGCTGATGACATGATCATGTATATATATACCTTAAAGTCGTCACCAAAAACTGTTAGAAGTGGTAAATAAATTCAGTAAATTGCAGGATATAAAATCAATAGTGTTTCCATGTACTAATAATGAACTATCTGAAAGCAAATTAAAGAAAAAAAGTGCAATGACAATAGCAACAAAAAAGTGAAATACTTAGTTATAAATTTAACCAAGGAGGTGAGAGATCTGTATATTGGAAACTATAAATAAATAATAAAATAAATTGAAAAAAAAAATAGAAACACAAATAAATAGAAAAGTATCCTGTGTTCATGGATTGGAAGATTTAGTATTGATAAAATGCCCTTACTACCCAATTTGATCTACAGATTTGATGCAAACGCTATCAAAATGCCAATGTCATTTTTATATAAATAGAGAAAACTATTTTTAAATTCATATGGAACCACAAAAGACCCCAAATAGCCAAAACAATCTTGGACAAAATGTATCACACTCCTTCATTTCAAAATATATTATAAAGCCAATGTAAGCAAAACAGCATGATACTGGAATATAAACAGACACAACAACCAATGGAGCAGAATAAAAAGCCCAGAAATAAACCCCACACATAGATTTTTGACAAAGATGCTAAGAACACACAATGGGCAAAGAACTGTCTCTTCAATAAATAGTGTCAGGAAAATTGGTTATTTACATGCAGAAGAATGAAATTGTATCTTTATCTCATACCATATACAAAAATAGACTCAAAATGAATTTTGAAAAATTAAATATAGGACCTGAAGTTGTAAAATTACTAGGAAAACATAGGAAAAAAGCTCTACAATATTGGTCTGTGTTAAGATTTTTAAAATATAATTCTGAAAGTGCAGACTGAAAAAACAAAAACAGGCAAATGGAATAGCATTAAACTAAAAACTTTCTGCAGAGCAAAGAAACAATCAACAGGGTGAAGGGACAACCCACCAAATGGGGAAAGTATTTACAAAACATACATCTGATAAGAACATAATATCCAGAATATATAAAGAATCCAAACAACTCAATAAGAAGAAAACAAATAGCCCAATTAAAAAGACAGGCAAACGATCAAAACAGACATTTCTCGAAATAAGGCATACTAATAGCCAACAGGTTATGTGAAAAAATACTCTGTATCGCTAATCACTAAGGAAATGCAAATGAAAACCACCATGACATATCACCTTACAACCGTGAGAATGAAAGAAAAAGGCATTGGGTGTCATTTTTTTGCCTAAAACCATCACTTTGAGCTACTACAGCTTGGAGATCTGTGAATTCCAAGTTGTTGTGTGCCTAGGCATGTAGGTGTGTGAGAGTGCACATACAGACACAGTAATTCACAAAACATAACCTTTTCAAGTTTGTCTCAGAAGGTCCAATTTTAGCAATAGCTGTTGTTCTCCTATTCTTAGGATAGCTGCAGATTTCCCATTAAACACATGCTGACGTTTGCAGTCAAAGCCTCAGAGAAGTGAAACAAAGCTTCCTTTCATGAAGGTCATACATCTTTAGGGTTTAGATTCCAAGAACAATATATGCAAGAGCAAGATATTACTAGGTGGCTTGTGCTCACCTGCAGAGTGAAAATGGCTTCTGTTTCAGGAACAGGATTATTGATAATTCAAGTGCATTTTCATCTGAAATAATTGTGGCAAGGTTGCTTTACTGGCCCACAAATAGCCCACCTAGACAGTAAGATAGCTGTCATCTTCCCGGATTAGAGATACTTTGAACTGAGGGAAACTTTGTTCTTGAGAGAGAACTGAAGGCAGTGAACAGAACTACTGGCTGTAACCTCATTTTAGAGGTTATGAAATTATTGCTTCTTAAATAAGGATTTTATTGAAGCCTGGCTTCCTTCAGTGTCATTTTAAACTACAAATGTGGGACCCTAAGTCACATAACTTGCCCTCTCTGTATATTTATTTCTATAACAGATGTGTTAGCACCTGTCTACCTATCAGCATGGAATCTCAAGAATCAAGTGAGAAAATGTCTTCTCACACCACAGTTAAGTCTATCCCCATTCTTAAACTTTGCTGTGCATAAACCACCAGATAAACACGGCCCACCTTCCTAACTTTAATCACTGGAAGTTAAAAGTGATATTTTTATATTAACAAGCACATATACTATAAAGTTGAATATAAAATTATGCTTGATTTTTTCAGGCAATGTTTTGGACTTCAAACAGTTATAGAAATTGTAGGAGACAATTTAGATTTTATTACAGACTCTACCACTCAGGGGTTAACTGACATGGGGCTCCCTTGAAGGAAATAGTCTAAGCAGCATTTAGACATCTGCTAGTCCTTGGGAAAGTATAAAACATGACGAAAATGTGAAATGTTTTTGTTATGGGAGTTCATTTACATGAGGTTCATAGCTCAAATCATTATGGGATCTTCCCTTGTTCCTTTTTTCTCTTAGTTCTGCATTATTCCCTTCTTACCATCTCACCTGTGCAACACACCTGTCACCCAGGGTCCTAACAGCCCTCTCAGGTGTGTCCTGTTTTGGAAAGTATTCCAGTCTCCTATTTCTTTCACAAACTCTTCAAGTCTTAACTTGTTGGATGCTCCCTTCTCCTTTGTCATGTCCATTGTTTTCCAAAGACAGTTAAAATGAATTAACCTCTCCTGCATTAGCAGATGCTAGTAAGTTTATGTCTTACCTCATGTGTAACATACTTGAATTTGAGAATTTTTTTCTGACATCTATCAAAAGCATGGTTCTAATCACTGGAATATCAGGCTCTGTGACTACACAGGGCCAGTTTTGGGGACGATCTAGACTTCAGATTCTCAGACATACATGCATTTCTCTAAAGTACTCTCAGGGATATTATTATAGAACAATGCTTTTATATACATTTGGGAATATTGATTCTCACCTGGTACCAGGTCACCTCTAGGCTTTGTGCATCGCTTTGGCAGCTGAGACTGGGGCAATAAATGGAATCAGTGCTCCCAAGGAGTAGGACTTGCTCATGGATTGGAGACTTCTCACAGGATGCATTTATCTGGGGCTTAACTTCTAAGATCATCTTGACACAACAGGCCACATCCTGGGGGCTCCTAGGAGTTTAACAAAGTCCTGTGAACATAGATATTTTATCGAGATAACCAAGTATTTTGGCACGTTTTCATCTATAAATGCATTTAGAACATACCTAATCCTAGGTCTACAAATATATGTCCCAGTATTATTCATCCCAGGGATCAAAAAATGAAGAGTGCTTTTGTTCTGAATGATATGAGAATCACTTTTCATAATTTCCTTTAATGGATCTCCATTCTGAGGTTGTAGGTACCATTGGACATCAAATAGGTCCTCACTACCCTTGCAGGGCAGGTGTTCAAGGCCTTGTGTTGGTGAGAGTTGACGTCTACGGTAGAAATGGGGTTTCTGTGTCTCTGGTAAATCACAAAATAAGACAAATTTCTCTGCACTCTTTGTGGAGTATGTCCAAAGGAACTTTTTTGTGGAACAATCTGAAAATCACAAGAAATCAAACAAACTAGAAACACATTAGAAGATGGAACTCTAACTTGTATTTCCAAATAGTTCTTGATTTAACAAGACATCAAGCTTGTGTGTCTTCCTTTCTCGTTGCATCCATTTTATAGAAGAAAGGAAGTGTATGTCTAATTCCCTCCCAGCGAGCTTCAGCATCACTATTAGCAATCCAAGTTTCCTGTGAGAAATGGCTGAACCATTACTCCTCTTCAGCCACTCTCACTGAACCCTCAGCTACAGTAATTGGGTTCTATGTCAATATTTGATATCAGCTAAAAGCCCCAGTCATTCTCCTCCTACTCCATTTTCACTATTGGGAAGGAAAGGCTATATATTAAGAATATCAGATGACCTGTCACTTTAAACTTTGATCCCAGAACTCACAATACTCACATGAAAAGGGAAAATCCCTACCTGAAGTATCAAATCCTTTAATTCTCTCTCCTGCAATGAGCCAAAGACATATCCAGCCCAAACAAAGCATTATTCTCCCGTGTTCCTGTCTTCAATAACTTCATTCCGTGGCTAGAGTAGCGTACATTGAGATTCAGAGCTCCACCCTGTTCATCCTCTTCATTTCTGTAAATCGAGAAATGGGAAATGGAGAAATCAGAACCAGTAATCAAAATGCAAGTCACACAGGAAGCTTTGAAAGGGCAGGTCCTACCCAAACAGCTCTTCACATGCCCATGGTTCGTGTGGGTATTTCCAATGGGGTGTAGCAATCTTTTCACTATGTCACTGATTACACTTCTGAAGGAGGGGTGTCATTTCAAGCTCTTGGTATCCCTTGGATCTATGTACCATGCAGTGTGTTCTTTTCATGCCATTTTTTCCCTCATGGAATTCTTTTTTTAAATGATGTCACCTACTATGTATATTTTCCTGAATAATCTGCAAAGAGTTAAGTTTAATTTTTTCTGAAAAGATTATGCAAGTTAAATAAAAATGTCAGATACTTCACAGTTAAGGAAGCCAGAGACGTAACTGTTGCATATAAAATTTGAGAATGTCTGCACATGACTAGTTTGTATTAATTATTAGAGAGTAGAGAAAGCCTGCCTCTCCCTGCCCCAAATAAAAAAGGGAAACGTCACTGAATGGTGTCACTATCAATCCTTTCTAATCCTTTCTAATATAAAAGAAGGAACAGGTCACCTCAAAAGAGGGTGCTCCCTTCTGTCCTCCTTGTTGATAGGGTGATCCTGGGAACTTTCAAGTCACTTAGGGAGATGAGAAATTAAAATTCTGGGTGAATAATATTTCATTATTACTTAATCTTTTGTTCTCAGAAGATAAACGAGTTTTGCTATACTACAGTTTCGTCTGTCTCAGAGCTCTGAACTATCATCATTCATGTAAAAAATAACTTATAACTTGAGGAGTCTTGGGGAATCCAGCTGGAGCATTCCCAGGGCAGCTGTGTGGGGAAGAGCAGAGCAGGAGAGGGGTGTCCAGCCACAGAAGGAAGCTTTAAAGCCTGAGTGGTCTGCAGGCCCAAAGAAAAGGGCCGAAGAACACCCCGGAGGAACACCATTCTTTAAGAATGAGTCAGTGCAAGCAGAAAATAAAGAAAGACAAAACTAAAAGAAGGACAAGAAGCAAAGCAGAGGAAACCACGTTGGCACTAAGGACAGCCAATGTTTGGAGGAGAGAGCAGATGTCCATGTCAGAAATGGCAGAGGAGTCGGGCAAGAGAGGGACTGAAAAGTAATCACTGGATTTGACTACCAAGAGATCCGCCCGTCGTCGTCGTCGGCTGGGGTGAGATGATGGGACGCTCTGGGATAGGAAGAGAGAAGGAGAGGGGATGTGGATGTGAGAGAGGGGAAGAACCACACCTTCTAGAGGCAGCACGATGCACAGAAGACAAGAGGTGGTGTTTGCTCATTTGTTGTTGAATGTGATTTGGGCATGATTCCACTGGGAGGGAAATGCGACAGCCGGCCAGGGGGGCCAAATACGAACGAGGACAGAGTGCATGGACTCATTTCTCCCAGGAAGCCGGACGAGACGCAGTCTCTGATACCACAGAGCGATTAGTCTTGGATAGGAGGCAGAGCCACGCGAGATGAGAAAATTCGCACAAACCACTTTGCCCAGGCTGGGGCTGGAAGTACAAGACATCATCACCTGGCTGCTCACCTGACCAGATGAGAACAAGGGCATGCTCCCTGGAGAAGGAGGAGAGACTTCATACGAGGAGGCTTACAGGGTAGCAGGGATGGGGGTTAGAGTCCCTGCATTCTTTCTCCCCATGGGTGACACTGATGGCTTTTCTTACAAGAACTGTAGTCAAGGAACGAGGCAACTGCCTTTAAGGATGTGGCCTCCCCACTTGACTTTCCTTTGTCCACAAGGTCTCCAGAAGAACAATCTTCTAGCCACCAGAGAGAGCTTCCTGAAAAGCAAGCCCAAACCTTCCATTTTCATGCCCAAAATTTCACTGGTTCCCAATGCCCATGAGATAAAGAACTGATGGCAAAACACTGTGGACAAAATTGTCAGATTTGACTCTCTCTAGTCTTATCTCTAATTTATTCCTCAGAGATACCTTTCCTGGCCAACTTCCCTCCCTTCTTGTCAGCAACCATCTCTCTTTACTCATCTTATATTAATTTTGTCTTAACACATAATTGTTTAAACATACTTTATTTTGAAAGCTCCTCCCCTAACTAGAATATAAGCTCCATGGCAGCAAGAACTGAGTCTGTCTTTCTGGGTCCTGCATCTTTTCTCTAGGAATAGTACTTAATTAGTAACAGGAGCTCAGTAATTACTTGTTCAGAAGTTATCCTCATTTCAGTAGAATTGTTTCATATATCTTGCTCTCTCACTAGATTGGGAGCCTCCTTAAGAGCAGAGATCTTATTTCAGAAGCTATAGGACTGATCATAGGACAATGACTGATCATAGGACAATGACTAATGCACAAAGAGTAATCAATTCTGTTGTTTGAAGAAAAAAAAAACATAAAACTTTTCCACGGGAGTCACAGCAAATGAATATGTCTATTATGACAATTCACCTAAGTCACTTAGGTTCTCTCTGGATTTCAGTTTTCTAATCCACAAAATAAGTTATCTGGGTTATATTGGTGACCTCTCCACCTGAGTGCAAGTGGATCCGAATTTCTGAGGCTTAAGTCAGGAAATCTGTGTTTCTCAAAATATCTTCCTGACTCGTAATCTATGGGTCTAGATGATTGCTAAGTTCCTCCCAGATCTACCATTTTGCAATTTCATGTCCGGATGTCCAAGCTTGCAGCAAATTGGTTACCATGACACTTGGCAGGTTCCAGACTTCAGAAATCCTCATCTCAACCTTGAGATGACAGCTGCTCCCTAGTGATGCACCCTCCTGCTGACCTTGAACTTCAGGCTGCCTGGGGTTGATTTCAGACTGCAGCTTGGCTCTGGGACAGTGTTTCTCGAGTTATCTGGATAAGAATCACCTGAAACACTTGTTACAAATGTGAATTTCTGAGCTTTCCAAGAACTTATTAAATCACATTCTCAAGGCAAACAATGGAATCTACATTATAAACACGTGCCAGGGCAATCATTATGGTCCAGGGAGGCATTTTTAGGAAGCCCTGCTCAGGAATAAGCATAGAGCTTGGCAAGGATAGAGCTCACAGTCAGCCCTGAGCTATCGTAGCTGTACCAGCAGTAGGGCTAATGGACCAACACAAGCACAAACCTATTCTGGAAATCCTACTTATGTGGAATAACACACCCACGCCACCTGTTTTGTTTGTTGGTGTTTACCTTTTTAAGTTCATCTCATGTCTACGTGTTGCCTTTCATTCTGTCATCACCACAATGTTTCAGTGAATTATAAGGTTCTTTTTTAGTAAGTACAGAGTACAAGGGGGAACCCCCTAAAATTGAAATTTTCCTTTGGAGAGGAGGTCCCTTGTAGTATAGGCTTCCCTCACTAGGAAAATATTCTGAAAACCCATCAGTTTTTCATCTGGAAGTTTTGAGAAGGTTGCATCATGATTTGCAGAAGAAACATCTCGAATTGTGGCAAGCAGGTGACTGGTTCTTCTACCGTGACAATCCACCTGCCCTCACCACTCTGAGTGTTCAGCAGTTTTTGCCCAGAAAGGGCATGATCTCCATGCCCCATCCTCCCTATTCACTGGATCTCACCCCAAGCAGCTTTTTTGGTTTGTTTTCCCAGATGAAAAAAGTCCTCAGAAGAAAATCTTTTGTTGATGTGGAAGAGGTGAAACAAAAAAGGGCAGAAGCACTCAAAGACACCAGAACTGACAAGTTCAAAAACTGTTTTGAGCAGTGGAAAAAGCATCTCAATAGGTGTATTACATCAAACAGAGAGTACTTTGGAGGGGACTGGAGTTTAAACATGCTAGATTAAATATACCATTTTTTATAAATAAATTCCAGATTTTGAGCATCTCCCATCGTATATCACTTACTGAGTTCTGGGCAACTTAAGCCAATCCAAGCTGTAGATTCTTCATGGAAGTAGAATGAGGTGGTGTACTGTAAAAGAAAGACGGGTGCTGTCCTTCTCATTTTAGATACGGAAAACCAAGGCTCACATTGCTTGGAATAATGATACTCATTCCTAATGATAATCACATTCCTGGTAAGTATTAGAAAAGGGATTTATATCCAGGTGTAGAGAGTCCCAAAACTTCTGATTTTCCTGGCACTGCATGTTGTCCCTCACAAAAAGAGATGAGAGCTCAACAGAGCTTTGAGAATTTGCAGGATCTCTTCCTCAAAGCATTTTTCAGATGTGCTTCATGAAAATCATATTTCTTTTGTCAGAGGATGACGATTCCCTCTTCAGTTGGTCAGGTTTACACCTTCAACTATCTTTCAGAGATATAATGAACTGACTTTTTCACTGATCGAAGCATGTAATGGGAGAAGGGGAAAAGAGAGAGAAAAATGCTGGAGAAGGCAGATGTTAACAGGAGATCTGAAATGCAGGAAGGGAAATCTCAAAGGTAGACTTAAACTAAATTACACAGAGAGCACATGTGCAAACAGAGATTTGGTCTGTGGTATAATAGTAACAGTATTTAATTCAACTGATATTACTATAATTCTCACATGTTCCATGATAGCTTTATACCCCATTTTCTAGGGATAACAAAAAATGAAGTATTTAGTGCCTGCCCTCGAAAATCACACAGTCAAGTTAAGATAAACACTCAAATTTGGCAAACATATTTAGTGCCTCTGTTCTTAACATTTCCTGTAAAATACTCAAAGCACGATAGATAGAATTCTTTTATAACCACCAGCCTTTGAAAAGTGAAGCCTCCATAGATATGAAGACATAAAATAGCACATCTTTTATTCTAAAATATTTAATGAAAAGTAATTGTGTTAACAATACATTTTTTAAATTATTTAAGATCTTTTTTTCTCAACCTACGTTTTTCTGGTTACAAAATCTAGTTAAAAAATGTACTATTGTCTTACCTTTATTTCTGGTTTTTAA